GATACGAGAACTCTTGGCTGATACAGGAATTCTCGTCTGATACGGAAACTTTCGTTTGATACGGGAATTCTCGTATGATACCAGAACTCTTGTCAGATAGGAGAACTCTTGTCTGATACAGGAACTCTCGTATGATACGAGAACTCTTGTCTAATACGAGAACTCTTGTCTGATACAGGAATTATCGTCCGATAAGGGACCACTTGTCTGATTCAGGAACCCTCATGTGATATGGGAACTTTCGTTTGATACGGGGTAATTGTATCTGTCATTTTTCCGACTTTGACTCTAAGAGACACTTCAATGGATAATGTACAAATTTTGTTAAAAATGACTCTTCCGTTGCGCGTTTTGTCCAATCGACTGAAGTCGGAGTGGAGTCGTCCGTCTGAGAATGGAATAGCCTCTAATTTGAAGACGACACCCTGGTGTTCCGTGTTCCGGTGGTAGAGGGGGTCCTAACCATGGTATACTATCCAAACATCCAGGCTACCCTAATGCCGGGTCCTAACCTTTAGATTGGGGAATTTAGAAGTCTGATAGGTTATAATCGTGTTATTATGGCCGAATAACGTTATGAATTATTTGGATTTCTGGGCTGCGTTAATTGCCTACTCTTCATATCGATAACCGCGGGAGGACCTTACAAGGACCACCATTTAGAGTCCCATCTGCCGGACTATGGCTAGTAGTTAGTGGTTCGATTAGCACAGGTGCAATTTTAACTAACATTTTTTCGTTGTTGTAACGTCTGGAAACCTTTCTAATCGTGCTGACAAAGTTACTTTGTCACTTTGCAAATGTCTATTGCTCTCCATTCCACTTCGGTCTGATTCTGATCACTATTCTGACTTTTTATAATTTTATGTGATTTGTATGCACGTGCAGGTTTAGAAGTGTTATGAGGGGTTGCGGTCAGGTGGGTTACAAATAAGAAGAAATTGTTATGATAGGCTAAGATTTCATCCAATGTATAAATACTATAAACAAACTAGGATTCTACAATATTGGCACCAGGTATACGGCATGAGAGGGAGAGAAAGGGAGAGACAATGATTAACTTGTAAAGTCCGGGGATAGTTCTTAATCCATATAAAGGGGTCTGGGTTTGTAGAGTTATCTGTCGTGTTCTCTGGACGGGCGGAGAGTAGGTCTTGACCGGTCGGGCACTGGATTGGGGACGGAAAAAGAATGAAAAGCTATATTCTCCTCCGCTACAGAATACCTATAAAGGTCTTGACTGTTACCAATCATCGCGTCTATACCCGAATTCTTTCTCTTTAATTAAAAAATCGCTTTTACTTCATCTGCTGGTGTGTGTAGCTTATTGTTTTGTCAGCAAGGTCTGCGTTGGAATTCAGTGTACAACCGAGATTTAACAATCATATGTACATACTGTAACAGAGGACCATAAAACTAAATCTGTCGAACTTCGATATATAGATAAACGCATAAAGATTTATATAGAACTTGAAACGTAAGACGCCGCGGCAGACACTCAAATAGCAAACAAAAGCCAGCATAACACGTCTTTAAAATAGTAACATATTTTTACAGTGTTTCTAGTATACCAAATAGGATGTACAACGTCACGACGTAAAATCTCTACAAAGTATCAATTTTCTACCAGAGTTGTCGTTCCTTAACAATACGCCGCTGTAAACGGCTCACAGATTACCTATGATGAGGTGACCTCGCGGTTGGGGTCAAAGTTTGGCGTCGTGCAAAACAATTGTAGACTGTATTTTTTAAATTTTAACTTTTGTAAGTCATCGATCAGTGTTTACATTCACGCTTTCGGAGAAGAAATGTGCCAATATTGTAGCCAAATCACTATGTCACAATATGTATCCTGCGACTGGTGACTCCATAATCGGAATACGTCTGCCACATAATATGTTTGCTGTATTCGGCAATGGCGGAAAACAGCTGTATTTTAGCACGTGCGGTAATTCGACAGAATTGCACTCTAAATTTTCGTACATGTTACGTGTAGAAATATAGATAATTGTTGAAATAAACGATTTTACATGTTGTAATGATCAAGTCGATTTATGAAAATTCATAAAATCGCTGTCATGTCCGATGAAGTTTGGAACTATGTTACGGCAGGGAGGAATTATTTTGTCGTCCGTCGTCAGGCAAAATTCAGCGTAACGTCAATGTCAGGTAAACAAAAAAACAAAGCTGTTTAAGTTTCAATAGTTTGTTTTGCAATAACTTGGTTGCCCCTTTTGTCTTTCGTCACCCTCGCAAAAATACAGCTTATATTTTAAGACAGGGTGTTTTCTTTAGAGTATTCTCTGTGTATCTCGAGAACACGTCGGTAGTTGAAAAACGAAATTACAAAAAAATGTAAACGCTACGGATGGTGACTGTTTACTCACCATTACTCTTCCGCGATATAATCCATAACGTTCACAGCTACATTAAGTATTGTAGTGATTTTCCAGATAAACGAGAATGATGCCAAATCCTGTACGACTTAAAATCTCTTCCTAGTGAGATTATCTTATCCTTTCTATATATATTACTAGTGAGTCCAGTTTGCCAATACCGAAGTAGATAATGTTTTCATCAGCGCTTTCATACTTCAGAATATATCCTAACTATCATACCAATGTACAGAGCAGATGTTTCTCCTTGGATGCGATTCTGTTGCTCCAAGGCAATCGGCTCGTTCTTTTCCAATTTCAAGGAAACAGCGAAGGGGGTCGTTTGAGCACCTTTCAGTATGTGATTGTCCTATTTTCTGTACGTGATTGTCCAATTTTCAGTATGTGATTGTCCCATTTTCAGTATGTGATTGTTCTACTCTCAGTATGTTATTGTCCCATTTTTAGTAGTTGATTGTTCTACTCTCAGTATGTGATTGTCCTACATTCAGTATGTGATTGTCCCATTTCAGTAGTTGATTGTTCTACTCTCAGTATGTGATTGTCCCATTTTCAGTATGTGATTGTCCCATTTTCAGTATGTGATTGTCCCATTTTCAGTATGTGATCGTCCTACTTTCAGTTTGTGATTGTCCCCAGCAAGCTGATTGCTAAAAGCGATGATTTTAATTTCCCTATTAAATTTTTCTATTTCTGGATAGCAACATTCCTGCATCCCCAACCTATGGTGTTTACATGTCACATTTGATTCAACATTCAAGGACCTGTTCGTTCCCATTATGATGGTTTTCGTGCAAGAAGTCATCAACTGACGGACAAATTCGTAGCACAGTTTTTCAAAAGATGCTGGTCGATGAAATTTTTGTTCGATGCTCGTTAGTTTGCCTGTTAGTTCCATTGTTTTATACATTGTTATTATTTGAGAACGTGACATTATTTACTTGGATCAACCAAGATTTACATGGCGGGTGTCGTCGAAGAGAATGAGACGCTTACTCTACCGGAACACTTTATCTTATTCTTGTACTTTTAAAGGAGTCTCCAGGTGATTTGTTTGTTCATATTTTGCCAAAGTTTTATTGAATTTGAAGTTTGAATTAGGATTATGTTGACATGTTGGTACTTGCTTGTTATTTTGTTTTATGCATCTATGGTCCTGTCGGTCTTGGGTACCATCTATCTTAACGCTAAAAATTGGATAAATCGGAAGATTACGCCTGAAAGTGGACAAAACGAGAACACACTTAAAATCTATCAGGCCCATCAACCTGAAAAAAAAAACCCACTTCAATTTCAAATTGGAAACAAAATATTGATTCCGATATCACATACAACACCTATTTTCAAAATTAAAAAAAGGAACCGTCTGCAGATAAGGCTTCCAATATTTATCTACAAACACTCATCTTATGTAATCAGGACTTAATATTCTCGTGTGATCATTAAGACTCCTTCCTTAGTCTCAGATTATTGCTTAGCTAGGTTCGTATCCAAACTTTCTAATGTCGTAACTTTTAGATTTGAGATTGCGGTGGTATTTTTATTGTATACTCCTGAAGCGAATCAAATAGAATATGAGAGTTAACGCCCTTGGCATCCTTGACGAGTCCTAGAAGGAAAAAAAACAGCTGTATGATACAGTTTAATTCATTGTTTGGCTCTACTGTATCGAATTTTAAATTTGTATTAAAAAGCGGTATTCATTTGTTTGTCTTTTGTGCAAAATGGCTTCAGACAAATCTCGAATCTGTCTCATAAAAAACAATCTTGTTATTTTCTATTCTGTTCCCTAAAATGTCCTATTCAAATAGAAGAAACACACTTATCTGCTTGGAATTAAGTTATTTTTTAATGTCAACGAAGAACTGAAGTATGTGCGTTTTAAAATTCATATTTAATGAAAATTGTATTTAAAACTTACCAGTGATAATTGATTATGAAAAAGAATATATTTTGGGAAAACAATATCGTTGTTGATTTCTGTGTTTAGATTCTGTTACTATTGCTTTACGTCCCATTAACAGTCAGTGTCATTTAATGATGTGCCAGGTTTTGGTGGTGGAGGAAAGCCGGAGAAAAAACACCGACCTCCGGTCAGTACCTAGCGACTGTCCCACGTGCGACTCTAACACGCTAACCAGAGGTGGAGGGCGAGTGTTAAAGACGGTCAAAAGCCTTAACCACTTGGCCACCGTGGCCCCCTGTCCGATTCAAATTGTTTCGTGAATTATCTACAACACACGAAGGATTTTGTTGTTATTACGTCACAACTATGAAATGACGACACTAAGATCTTTAATAACTAATTTTATTTAGTAGGTATGACGACATTCACTTGATAAAGCGTATAGTCATAATTGATTTATTCCGAGTGTAGGTGTTGAAAAGCATTATTAATCAAGTCCTGCCTATTGTAAGCTGCTTATGTAATAATTTGATAACATATATCATTATGCGTTTTTAGTCCAGTCTTCTACTGTTTGTTTTGTTTCAGCTTTTAGTTCAATAACTTGTGTGAGGAAATAATGTTTTTGCTGTCAGGTTTGTGTGCCACAATTTATTGTTGACAAATTATTGACAAAATACATTACTTTATACTTTCAGTGTTGTCACTGGTGGCTAGTGTGCTATCCCTCACTCTCATAGCTTATGACCGGTTCTTTGGAATTGTGTTCGCTTTGCGCGCTCACATGACGGAAAAGAGAGCTCGGACATCTCTCATAGTCATCTGGCTTTGTGCACTAGCTGTCACCATCCCTATCCTTCTCTACCGGAAGTTGAACGTCCGCCATTGGTCGGATCACTTGGAGAAATGGTGCGATGACGATTTTCCAACATCGACCACGATCATCAACAATGTGACGGTGACAAAACAGACGTCCAGAACAGCGTACTACGTCATCGTTTCTGTGGTTCTATATTTTGTTCCCATGGTTGTCATGACATTTGCGTATTCCATAATAATCATGAAATTGTGGATAAGTACGATCCCAGGGGAAATAGTTGATAAGCGAGTTGAAGCCCAGGCTAGAACTAAGCGCAAGGTAAGTTGAAAGACCGATACACTTGTATTAAGGAACTGACTCCTCCCACCAGGGAGTGCAACAATTTTTTAAAACTCTTAACTGTATACATCAGTCCCCATACATTTCAAATTACAAAAGACAGTTTCATAGATACGAAATAATTTGGAAACTCGCCCATAACGTGTAAAGTTTGAAAGTTTTTATAGGCTATGAGAAATAAACCCACTTGGGTTCTTAAATCATGTAAGCTAATTTGGTATTGACTTTTTTTTTTTTTTTAGAGTTTACCATGTTGTGGACTTCGCTGATTTTATGTTGAACGTTTTCTTCTGTCCACGTGTACACATCACATATCCTATTTATCTTAAACGATAATCAAGCATTTTGAAGTGTCTACCTTCGATGAGGTTGGCAGATTTAGATTGCACATGTACACCAAAATTTATCTTGATACTCAAAATGTTGTTGAAGAATCAAAATGTACGTGGAGATTCAAAATATATACGTTGAGACTCAAAATGTACCTGGCAACACAAAATGTAGAGTGGAAACATGGTGGTTTGTGAGAAAGGCAGAGGTTGTGAGAGACAGTAGTTGAAGTGTCCCTTGGCGTCTCAGTACTGATAAGACGATCTAGGTGATAACTACACAGAGCTGGAGCATTAAGGCCAAGCGTACTGCTGATGTACATGTCCAACTGTATTTAAATCTTCTTGGTAATGGGTCGGCAGTTTGTTTCATTTAGAAGATATTCATTATTTATACTTGTATCAGTTGACACAGGATAGAGATAAAGGTATCGATTACCAATTACCTAAGACATCGACCATTAATTATTCTAGGACTTAACTCACCACATGGATCTGACGTACACTGCTGGGAAATTGACTTGATGTGATTAATGGCTTTTAAATGAATATTCATTACTTGGAGATATCATCTGGTCTCTAATGTGCGCTCATTAACATATTTCTGATAAAAATAATTTTAGAAGTGTATCCAATATTACTCCGTACTCACAACAGTACTCTTAAAACATACTCACAATTAAATTCCGTTAATACATAGAAGTACTAATTTTTCACTCAGTATAACATCAATGATGTACGAGGCAGTCTTTTTCAATTCTTGCATCAAATGTTAATGACGATACGTTTGTTTTATGGGTTATTGGTGATGGGCGTGTGTTTTTCATTATTTACGATGCGTTTGTTTTATGGGTTATTGGTGATGGGCGTGTGTTTTTCATTATTTAGGACGCGTTTGTTTTATGGGTTATTGGCGATGGGCGTGTGTTTTTCATTATTTAGGACGCGTTTGTTTTATGGGTTATTGGCGATGGGCGTGTGTTTTTCATTATTTAGGACGCGTTTGTTTTATGGGTTATTGGCGATGGGCGTGTGTTTTTCATTATTTAGGACGCGTTTGTTTTATGGGTTATTGGCGATGGGCGTGTGTTTTTCATTATTTACGATGCGTTTGTTTTATGGGTTATTGGTGATGGGTGTTTGTTTTGATTATTAACATTCTGCTTGTTTTGTGGGTTATTGGCGACCTGTTCAATTTATAAGACAATGTCGGACTTTTTTGTAGGTTATCGTTATGCTGGTTGTTATACTGGTCGTATTCGCTGTCTGTTGGCTTCCGTGTCAGGTGATTTTACTATACAGTGAACTCCGCCCCGACAAGGAAAATAGGGTAAGTTCAAGGCCGAAGAGGGCAGCATCATCATTTGAGAGTAAACATGGTGGTAGCTAGTGCCCGTTTTTAGCGCAATTTTATTTTTTTGATAACAACAGTTTTTTTATAAACTGAGGACAAAGGCCTTCTTGTTCACAAATGTTTACTTTATAAAATCATCTGTTTTGTTAATCTTCAGAACACGTTGTAGACATATATATATATTGTCGAACTTCATTATTTCGATGTCAGCTGGACCGTTAGAAACCTTCGAGTTATCCGTGTATTTGATTGAGTGAAATCGAATGTCTGGTGGAAAGTCTTACTGAAACAGACGAAATACTTCGAATTAAACGAGGTTTTCGCGCTATACGAGTTCGAGATGACGAAGTTCGACTGTATGTATAATATCGTTTATAATATATCGTCGATACACAACAATTTATCGGACAATAGTTTGATTCTTACGATGAGAAAACAGTCATCTTATGCCTACACGGGTGCTTTGTTTGGCGAAACAATTTCTAACTGCTACAGGGAGCGAGAAGACCGTGTCAAAACAGCTTTAAGTTGCAGTCTTACTTAAATTTATGGCTAACGGGTTCAGTCTGTAATTTTCTTAAGAAAGCAAAGAAGTATAACATGCAAGAAGTGATGAAAAAATAGGTATAATTAGCGGTTTTGTCGCCTTAAAAGTTACAGATGCATTCATGTTTGTGTGTTACAGCTCGGGGACTGGTTCCAAGACCTTCAGTTCTCTGGGTACTGTATGGCGTACTCAAACAGCGCCCTTAACCCACTAATCTACGCTGGCTTCAACGCTAATTTTAAACGTGGTAGGTTAACATTTTGTCGCATGCCTTAACCACGGGAGAGTTTAGTCTAATAACGACCATGAAGTCAGCTCTAAGCGCGAAAACATATTAAACTAATTCAGGTCACTGATTCTGAAGCTAACGTTTCCTCAGGTCAGTTTGTTGGGAGTAACTCCTGATCAATTTTGTTCCATTCCAGGTGTGACTTACACACAGAACCATCAGTGAGACTGTCCCAAGCTCGATAAGTTTCATTACTTTGAATGAGACAACAGGCAAGAATTATACACTGCAATGAGTAAATTTTAAAACGAGACAGATTTAGTTGCCTGTGGAACGTTAATGAAAACATAGTTTGTGTGAGCATGCCTCCGAAAGACGCCTCCTTTAGGAATAATTCGAACGCATCAAAGTACACGAACAGCCGTGTATAAACACTAAAGAGTCGTACAGCCTTATGACTTAGGATTCCAGATCGATTTGGAAATTCAATATATCCTACGATAGCTATTAATTTCTGATTCATCAAAAACGATAAAAACGTCACTGGATTCTGATGCACCTGTCGAATTACGTAACCCAATCGGCTGTTTTAAAGCGTCCAGATTATTATTTTGAAGCCACACATCCGATATTGCATGTTTTGATATTCAATATTTGAAACGACTTTGTAGATTTCTTGCGTCCGGTATAGTCAAGCCACAAAAATGAAGCAGTGTCTTTGCGGCTGCATGATTGTACGGGGATATGTATAACGGTCCCTATTAGGATAATAACTTGTTAGTGCAGTTAATAATGTACTTATCTACCTACAGGTTTGGAGGACGTGTGGCGTTGTGTTTCTTGTAAAGAGAAAGAGAATCATTCCAATGGTAAAACATACGGCACGTACGAGCTAACGGCAACCACCGCCACTCACGTGTGACGTCAGCACAAAGGATATGACGTCATCCTATCAGGATACGACATCAACAGAGCAAGATGTAACATTTGCTGACGGATTGATGACGTTGAAGATCCGATGTATCGACTGATGGCTAAAAATAAACGGGTACTTGTCGCTGAATGAAATTTGCTCATTTAGTTTTGGACAGTCTAAGATGTGAAAGAGTTATCTCCCGTTTTTGTTGTTAATAAATAATGTGTTGTATCTGTTGCTCGTGTAATTCTATTGAGTTTGCAATTCAAATACAGAACAAATTAGAAACGACATCTGTTGAACTGGTGTCTGCTGAACTGACGTTTGTTGAACTGGTGTCTGTTGAACTGGTGTCTGTCGATGTGGTGTCTGTTGAACTGACGTTTGTCGAACTGGTGTCTGTTTAATTGGTGTCTGCTGAACTGACGTTTGTTGAACTGGTGTCTGTCGAACTAGTAACTATGGAACTGGTGTCTGTTTAATTGGTGTCTGCTGAACTGAAGTTTGTTGAAACTTGTGTCTATTGAACTGGCGTCTGTCGAACTGGTGTCTGCTGAACTGGTGTCTGTCGAACTGGTGTCTGTTTAATTGGTGTCTGCTGAACTGAAGTTTGTTGAATTGGTGTCTATTGAACTGGCGTCTGTCGAACTGGTGTCTGCTGAACTGACGTCTGTCGAACTAACGTCTGTTGAACTGGTGTCTGCTGAACTGACGTCTTTTAAATTGGTGTCTGCTGAACGGACGTCTGTCGAACTGGTGTCTGCTGAACTGGTGTCTGTCGAACTGGTGTCTGCTGAACTGACGTTTGTCGAACTGGTGTCTGTCGAACTGGTGTCTGCTGAACTGACGTTTGTTGAACTGGTGTCTGTCGAACTAGTGTCTATGGAACTGGTGTCTGTTTAATTGGTGTCTGCTGAACTGAAGTTTGTCGAACTAGTGTCTATGGAACTGGTGTCTGTTTAATTGATGTCTGCTGAACTGAAGTTTGTTGAAACTTGTGTCTATTGAACTGGCGTCTGTCGAACTGGTGTCTGTCGAACTGGTGTCTGCTGAACTGGTGTCTGTCGGACTGGTGTCTGTTTAATTGGTGTCTGTTTAATTGGTGTCTGCTGAACTGACGTTTGTTAAATTGGTGTCTATTGAACTGGCGTCTGTCGAACTAACGTCTGCTGAACTGACGTCTGTCGAACTAACGTCTGCTGAACTGACGTCTTTTAAATTGATGTCTGCTGAACGGACGTCTGTCGAACTGGCGTCTGTCGAACTGGTGTCTGTCGAACTGGTGTCTGCTGAACTGGTGTCTGTCGAACTGGTGTCTGTTTAATTGGTGTCTGATGAACTGACATTTGTTGAACTGGTGTCTATTGAACTGGCGTCTGTCGAACTGGTGTCTGCTGAACTGACGTCTTTTAAATCGATGTCTGCTGAACGGACGTCTGTCGAACTGGTGTCTGCTGAACTGACGTCTGTTGAACAGGTGTCTGTCTAATTGGTGCCTGTTGAACTGGTGTCTGTTGAATTAGTGTCTGCTGAACTGACGTTTGTTGAACTGACGTCTGTTGAACTGGTGTCTGTTGAACTGATGTCTGTCGAAGTGGTGTCTCCTGAACTGGTGTCTGTTGAATTGACGTCCCGCCCCCTTCCACCGGCACCAGTAATCTGATCAGCGTCTGCCATTATGTTGTCACATCGGCGTCCTATATTACTATATATCTAAAGTAATAATGTCTCTCTGAAACCTGTCGTTATGATTTCTACCTCGCCATCTGTCGTAATGATGTCTTCTCTGACATCTGTCGTTATCAATTCTGCCTCGCCATCTGTCGTAATGATGTCTTCTCCGACATCTGTCGTTATCAATTCTGCCTCGGCATCTGTCGTAATGATGTCTTCTCTGACATCTGTCGTTATCAATTATGCCTCGTCATCTGTTGTAATGATGTCTTCTCTGACATCTGTCGTTATCAATTCTGCCTCGGCATCTGTCTTCTCTGACATCTGTCGTTATCAATTCTGCCTCGGCATCTGTCGTAATGATGTCTTCTCTGACATCTGTCGTTATCAATTCTGCCTCGCCATCTGTCGTAATGATGTCTCCCGACATCTGTCGTTATCATTTCTGCCTCGCCATCTGTCGTATTGATGACTTTCTGACCTGTAGTTACTATTTTTGTCTCGCCATCCGTCGTAATGATGTCTCCAGACATCTCCCTGACATTGACATTTGTCGTTATCATTTCTGCCTCGCCATTCGTCGTAATGATGTATGCCGACATCTGCCGTTACTATTTCTGCCTCGGCATCTGTCCTAATGATGTCTCCCTAGTGATGACATCTACCTCGGTTTCTGCCCTAATGATGTCTTCCGCGGTATCTGATGTAATGATGTATTACGCAGTATCTGCCGTTGTGATATCTCCCTCTACATTCTGTGTCGACATCTATCGTAACAATGTGTCCCTCGGCATCTGCCGTAATGATGTGTCCCTCGGAATCTGCCGTAATAATGTCTCCCTCGCCATATGCCGTAATGATGTTTCCCTCGGTATCTGCCGTAATGATGTCTCCCTCGGTATCTGCCTTAATGATTTCTCCCTCGGTATCGGTCGTAATGATTTCTCCCTCGGTGTCTGCCGTAATGATATCTCCCTCGGTATCTGTCGTAATGATTTCTCCTTTGGTATCTGCCGTAATGATATCTCCCTCGGTGTCGGTCGTGATGATGTCTCCCTCGGTATCGGCCGTAAAGATTTCTCCCTCGGTGTCGGCCGTAATGTCTACCACGGTATATGTCGTAATGATTTCTCCCTCGGTATCTGCCGTAATGATTTCTCCCTCGGTATCTGCCGTAATGATGTCTCCCATGGTATCGGTCGTAATGATGTCTCCCTCGATATCTGTCGTTATGGTGTCTCCCTCGATATCTGCCGTAATTATATCGCTACTGTTTGGTGTAAGATCTAACAGTGCGTGGCGTAATTGTAATCCTTTCCCCGAAGTCTGGTGTAACTATAGCCCTGTTCCGGATGTGTGGTGTAACGGCTCACCTCCCCTCTCCCGTGGTTTGCTGGAAATGTGCCCTCTCTGTTTTGTGGTGGGGTCATTAACGCCACGGCGTTTGGCGTAATTTTGCCTCTTGATGTTGGTTATAATTGTGCCTTAGGTGTATGGTATGATTGTGCCCCCTAGTGTTATTGTCAACCGGTGTCTAGTGTATTTTTATCATTTCTGTACGAAATGGTACCTATTTTAACTGTTATTAGTGCTTACTCTAGACAGACTAAAAGTTGAACAAAAATATCAGCTGTTCCAATACTTATATTCTCAGCATCTTGAGATGAATCACTTGATGGCTGGTATTAGTTTTAAGGGATAAGTCTTAAATGTCAGGTCATGGATGTAATTTCCCTGTTGTTTCCAATTTAACACGCGTAAGAATTTTAACCGACACGAAAAAAACGAGACATCTCTTGTTTTGATCTATACTTTCCTGTTTTCTGAAAACTTTACTTTATTAACAAATTGATATTTTGAAAAAAAAAAAAGTTGTAAATGACACGTGTTCGAATGTTGATGATTGTAACTCAGAATAGTGTACAACAGTCGCTGAAGCATTATGGGAGAAAATTACTTTTATTTTAGAACTTTGTCATTGTGATGTAACCATGGTAACTTACTATTAAATCATTAGCTTACCAATCATTGTGTTGTCTTTACTAAATTTCTTTTTTTCTTTTTCGTTCGTTTTGTTTTTTTTTTTCACTCACTCCCGTGTCACTGCTTTTGACGTATTCAGTAATCAGATATTATCAACAATCACCAGTGATTTCATTATCTTTGTGATCATTGGAGTTTATGGTATTTTGACATTGTTAATTAACCTGTTAAATATGTCTCGGATAAATTGACAAAACACCGGTACCTAGACTATAAATGTAGAGGATGGGCGTGGCTCTGATAACTGCGGTGATATCTTAATCAGTTTTTACGAAATGGGCGTGGCGCTGATAACTGGCGTAATATCTTATTTATGTGTACAAAATGGGTGTGATAATTGGTGCGATACCTCACTGATGTGTACAACGTGTACAACGTTAGCGTGGCTCTGATATATTGCTGATATCTTAATGATATGTACAAAATAGGCGTGGCTCTGATAACTGTCGTGGTATTTTAATCATGTGTAAGAAATGGACATGGCTCTGATAACTGTCGCAATATCTTAATCCATTGTACAAAATGGGTTTGACTCTGATACCTTGCGTGATATTCTAATCACGTGTGCAAGATGGGCGTGGCTCTGGTAATTGGCTTGACATCTTAATTATGTGTACAAATAGGCGTGGCTCTGATAACTGGCATGGTATCTTTATCATTTTAAGAAATGGGCGTGGCGCTTATAACTGGCGTGATATCTTAATCATGTGTACAATGGGCGTGGCTCTGATAACTGGCATGGTATCTTTATTATTTTTAAGGAATGGGCGTGGCGCTTATAACTGGCATGGTATCTTCATCATTTTTAAGAAATGGGCGTGGCGCCTATAACTGGCGTGATATCTTAATCATGTGTACAAAAAGGGCGTGACTCTGATAACTGGCGTGATATCATAATTATGTGTACAAAATGGGCGGGGCGAGAATAATTTTGCGATGAGAAAATGGTCGCGGTTCAAATACATGTACGACCGTTGTTTTACAGGTCTATGTTAATGCACATGGTAGGAAAAAACTTTATGTACAGAAAACTAAAAGAAGAGAAATTCTCTAGACTAAAATTTACACTATACAAAAAACCCTCTAAATAAATTATTACTTTCAGAACAAACACTGTTTATCACAGTTCATTTTGGTTAATTTCTTTCCTTTTAAAGTATAGCGATCGTTGAATATATATGAACTCTTTGAAAATTACTATGAAACGTAGTAATTTTACCGTAACAGCTACTCTCTCATCCCTATGGAATAGGTTCTAAACAATGCCAAGATACGTTTAACACGAAACA